GCTGAAGACACTTAGAGAAATTTTCAGGGTCGCCTACAGGACGATACTAACGCGCAGCCGCTAGTTTTCAATCTAGAACAAAAAGCCCCCCAAAAAATCCCGCACACAGACTATGCTGTGGCAATGAATGAAATACCCCAAAAATACATAAATAAACAAATCCCCGTGTCGACTTAAGTGCTCGTTACGCAGATGAAAAGACAAAACTCACCAAGTTAGGTTCTTTTTGGTCTTGTGTGGCAAAAGGATTCCTTCCGTGCGTGGACGAGCGCGCTCTCCCTTGTCTCCAAAAAGGAACAGAGGCTGGTGATCCAGGTCGGCCAAACAAAGCCGCTCGTCCCGCCGAAAGTATCCATGCCAAGACATGCCAGCAACGCCAAATTGTTATAGAAATATATACCCCATGAAGGAGGAAACTCAAAGGTCCTTTGTCTGATCAAAAGCGTAAGTTTATTGTTAACGCACAGTGCGGAGAGTCAGCATATGCACACAACGGCAGCATGCTCAGCTCTGGGGGCCAGAGCCCCCAGCTTCCTGTATACAAAACACACACCAAAGATAGTCACGCCCACAACGGAGCGGAGGGGGCCACCGGTGAGGAGGCGCACAGGAAGCGCCGGCGCCATCCCCTGTGGTGGCAGTGGCATGGGGTGGTGAACAGACAGACAATGGTGGAAGTGCAGGTCATACAGATGCAAGACGGAAAGACACAAGGGTGTGACAGACAGCAGGGACCTTCACAAAGCGAGACTATCGATCTTCTGGGCGTGTCTGTTGTTGACCTAGAATCTCCTTGGTCCTTTCCAGCGCTAAACACATCAAACAGGTGAACATTATTCCCTTTTCTCTGCATTATTTAAACTTTACATGAAAATTTAATGCAATCCAATCATCAACACTGTGTTAGAACCAAACTTCAGAAATAATAAACTGCGAATGATTTAATTTCACTAATGCAATTACGATAGAATAAAACTAATATACCAAAATAAGAGAGAAAAGCCCGCAGTGTAAAAGTATAGCTGTTCATTTGAAATCTTGTGACGGATCAAATTATCAGGAAATGTCAAGCTTCCCCCCTCAGGCCCCATACTTGATGAATGACTTAACTTTCCCACAAGGTCTCTCACCAATAAAGCAGGCGCCGCGCGGCGTGCGACGCGGCGTTCGTCTCAGTGATTATGCGGTTAACTGCGCATTAAGTGGATACATTATGTACACATTGCCAGAAAAACTTAATATAAATTCATGCCAACCAACATAAACATACAGTGAAACTCTAGAAAATTAGAATATCGTTACTATTCAGTCTTCGTCATTTACGATGGGGTTCATGTTCGAAAAATAACCCCAACAAGCAAATCCGCGGACACTATTACTCCTTTTATAACAACCAGAATTCACAACTGCTGAAGTGCGATTGCGGAGCTCTCAAACCTGTTCTTTATAGCTGTTAATGCTGTGTGCTGCTGGCATCTGTCAAAAGCGGTGCATAAACTTTAACAGCTGCAGTGACCAGCCCAGTGGGGGCGGGTCCCTGCACAAAATGGCCAAAAAATGACGTGCACTGACTCTGCTTGCAATCCCACCCCGGGCCATATGGGGGTGGGGGAAAACCCGGGAAAAAAAGAATTAGCCAAAGTTAACCCATATAGCATCTTCATACCTCTCGAAAACACCTTTACAGTTGGCGTCCTAAAGTTGGCTCTTGGCCCAAAGCTCCGTATCCACATGTGTGTTAATGCTTGCTTGAAATCACTCCATGAAAGCCCATGATTCAGAACGGCGGAGATAGGAGTTGAGACAGGCGAGACTACGTCCGTTAATACAGCGAGTTTTTTCAACCATTTTTATGAGCCGAACAAGGCGCACACTTTTTTCATTGAAAAAAACTTGAGGCACACCAAAAACCCCAGGGAGAAAATGTAAAAATATATACCTCTGTAGCCTATATCTACAATATAAAGTCATTCTTATCAAAGTGCTTAAATCCAGGCCTTGACATGAAGCTTGGTTTAATATTGCTCAATACAATGTCAGTCAACAAGAGTCTTGGGACTAAAGTGCAGATAACTGTGGGGGGGGGAAAAAACATAAAAAAATCCACTCTCATCGCCAAAAAGTCAAACAATGACCTCAGAGAGGCCTCTAAGGTCAGAAAGAATTGATTAAAAAATGCCCTCGCAGTTGTTCTTTTTGATTTGTTCACAACATTTTACTTTTGCACAAATAACCATGCATTTTTAATGCATGGGCAAGATGTAGGTATCCGCGAGCTTAAATTAAGTTTTGCGCTTCGCAGAGACACAGGAGAGACTCGGGGAGAAACAGGAGCTGGTGCCCTGAACACTAGTCCAAGGACCGCACAGATGGCTACTGGTCCGCGACTCCATGGTTCTGTCCACGTAACTAGGGTCCGCGTGAGCCGGCAACCATGTTACGGATGGGCGTGGAGAGCGTGGCGAGTGGAGCAGTTATCGGGTGGGTAAAGCGGCTGTCAGTAACAATGGGGCCACAGTATGCCACCCCGGTCAGATCAGAGTATGTGAATCCTGTTCAGACAAGCATAATCTACTTTACAAAAACGATCTGTCACTTTCACTTCTCACTCGCCAAATTCTCCATCTTCGTTGGAGATCACAACTGAATTGGCCTGTAAGCCAAAATCATCACGGTGGTCTTTTTCAAGTTGCATTACGAAATACACGAACAATATTCTAATTTTTTCTGTGTTTCCATTGTGTTATATACAGATAGAAAATAGAAATGCGCTGGCGTGCACAGTTCATCCATCAATATCAGCGGAAAAAAATTTCTATGGCTTTTTTTCTCACCCAAAATCCATGTGCGATCTGACATTTCCATCTCCTATCTCTTATGCAATCTTCTGTAGTATTAGATTTCCTTCAGATTATTACATGTTTCATTATGTTTTACTTTGATATAGAGAAATGTCACGGCCGTGCGTCTGTTATCAGAGCGATGCGGTGTGGAGTATCCCTTTCATTTCAATTTCTTTTGAAGCGAGAGGTTTACATTGAGAAACACAACATTTTATTGATCCTAACCATAACTGTTTTGGTACCATCTGTTCCATGCTCACATCCAATACAGCTGTACATATGATTAATCTTTAACAGGTACTCAAAGGGCAGAGAGCGCACATCACACGCAGGGAATTACTCACGGCTAGCCTTTGCGCTAGACTTTACAGGTTCAGATCCAGATTTTAAGCAGCTCAAGTTCTCATATTTTGCTCGGGAATGGCCAACATGGCGCTGATATCTGGAGCCATCACAACCACTGCCGCGAGCGGAGGCCTCACGTAAAAATGGCAAACATGAGATTTACTCGGCTCAGTATCATGCAACTTTTGAATGATTCGTTGTCGAAAATGTTCATCAAGAAAGTAACATACATGTATTTGATAAATATTATATATATATTATTATATAGCAGGGAAATGGGGGAAATTGTCATAGGGAAGTAATTGAAACAGACCACAAATTCATATCTTTAATATTCATGCTGAGTGATGGAGTTACAGGTTGGCGGAAAAACAAAGCATTTTAAACATAGTGCTGTCCTTGTGGAAAATGGACGCCAACATTGAGCAAAAATGAGCTGAATAGTCAAGATTTTTTGATCTAATTGGACCCGCTCTGTTTATTTAGATCTTTTTAGACCCTGATTTTTATGGACATTTTTCTTCTACTTTTAATCACTATAGGGCTCCATTTTGCGCCAAAGATAGACACAAAGGTTTCACCAGATTTCACATGCAATGAGTATTTTTGGCCTTGATAAGTTTTCGAATATCTAATAGATTCTTGTTCGCCCTAAATTGTTAGGAACAAACAAAAACAGATAAGAAGCCTACTCCAGCTTGTGTTCATTTAAGTACTGAAGTAGTTGATATGATAAAGACACCTCTTCAGCCCTAGTACTATGCTCTACACTCTTGAGATTGTAATTGCGTGTAGTGTGAAGAATACTGAACCCTATTTCATTCATACTTTTATTTATTGCCGAGATTGTGATTTTTGTTGTACTTGTTGCGTTGGTTATTTGCGTCTATTTTTGCGCGTGGTCTTTTGTGATACTTTTGGGGGAGCGTGGCCTGCGAGAAGTTTGTCTCACAGCATGAAGGTTGAGCAGGTTCAATCAGACACCTGCTTGGGAATATTCTACCCTCAATTTTTTTGCGTGATTCTCTCTGTACCAATAAAAAACAACAATCCTCTTTTATTATATTGAGCCTTTTGAAACGGAGATTCACAACAGCGCTTTTACAATTGGTCCTTGGCATCAGGGTGGATTATCTACTGGAACTCCAGTTTTCCCCCAGCACCCAAAAAACATTAAATACAAAACATCGTATCAAACAAAACCAAAAAAAAATAACCCGGGATGTCATCAAAACACCAAGCTCTCTCGTCATTTTATCTTCAGTGCTATCCACAATAACAAAAGACTGCATGCGAAGAGCACTTTTGAATCAGTGAGCACTTGTGACTGGAGGCTAGTTTAGTTTCTTCTTCTGCAACTTCTTTTTCCCTGAATTATGCAAGAGAAAAAAACACAGCGAGTGTGCGGTCCACACCAACAAGAGCGTTCCCTGCCTTTCATCTTCCACAAATAAAACCAGTCTATTTGAGTCAAAAAAGCATGAACTTTAAAGGTGCACAGAGTAGTCGGTAAGTTCTGACATTAGTTAGTGAATATGTTTATTTCCGTTGGAAGAGAGGAAAGTTAGCACTTTTTGAGCTCGCCGACACCCCAGCGAACCCCCATGACACGCAGCATCAGGCCAGCATGTCAAATAGTTCTTTAAAAGGATTTCTGATTGTGCACTGTATAGAACCATGGCAAGGATGTTTTGAGGCAAGAGAAATGTGAATGAATAAAGGGGAATAATTTGCAGGGTTTAGTGACTTGTCTGTTTGCCAGTATGGAACAGGATTTGAGAGGTTTTGTAGATTATGAAGTTTTTTTTGTTTTTACGTTTTTTTTGTCACTTTGAGATTGGCAAATATACGAGACACAGGAGGAGAACACAGGGGGAGGAAGACACAGGACGAGACACAGGAGGAGAACACAGGGGGAGGAGACACAGGAGGAGAACACAGGGGGAGGAGACACAGGACGAGACACAGGAGGAGAACACAGGGGGAGGAGACAAAGGAGGAGACACAAGGGGAGACACAGGGGGAGACACAGGAGGAGGAGACAAAGGAGGAGACACAGGGGGAGACACAGGAGGAGGGACATAGGAGGAGAAAACAGGGGGAGGAGAGACGGGAGGAGAACACAGGGGGAGGAGGAGACACAGGGGGAGGAGACACAGGAGGAGAGTTAGGAGGAGACAAGGGGAGACACAGGGGAGGAGACATAGGAGGAGACACAGGAAGAGGAGACACAGGAGGAGGAGACACAGGAGGAGACACAGGAGGAGACACAGGGGGAGACACAGGGGGAGACACAGGGGGAGACACAGGGGGAGACACAGGGGGAGACACAGGAGGAGGAGACACCGGAGGAGGAGACACCGGAGGAGACACCGGAGGAGACACCGGAGGAGACACCGGAGGAGACACAGGAGAAGAACACAGGGGGAGGAGACACAGGAGGAGACACAGGAGGAGACACAGGAGGAGACACAGGGGGAGGAGACACAGGAGGAGACTCAGGAGGAGACACAGGAGGAGACACAGGTGGAGACACAGGTGGAGACACAGGTGGAAACACAGGGGGAGAACACAGGAGGAGACACAGGAGGAGACACAGGAGGAGACACAGGAGGAGACACAGGAGGAGACACAGGAGGAGGAAACACAAGGGGAAAACACAGGAGGAGACACAGGAGGAGACACAGGAGGAGGAAACACAGGGGGAGAACACAGGAGGAGACACATGGGGAGGAGACACAGGAGGAGACACAGGAGGAGACACAGGAGGAGACACAGGGGGAGGAGACATAGGAGGAGAAAACGGGGAGGAGACACAAGAGGAGACACAGAAGGAGAAACACGGGGAGGAGAGACAGGAGGAGAACACAGGGGGAGGAGGAGACACAGGAGGAGAAGTAGGAGGAGACAAGGGGAGACACAGGAGGAGAATTAGGAGGAGACAAGGGGAGACACGGGGAGGAGACATAGGAGGAGACATAGGAGGAGACACAGTAGGAGACATAGGAGGAGACACAGGAGGAGGAGACACAGGAGGAGGCACAGGAGGAGGAGACACAGGGGGAGACACAGGAGGAGGCACAGGAGGAGGAGACACAGGGGGAGACACAGGGGGAGGAGACACAGGGGGAGGAGACACAGTAGGAGACACAGTAGGAGACATAGAAAGAGACACAGGAGGAGGAGACACAGGGGGAGGAGACATAGGAGGAGAACACAGGCGGAGACACAGGGGGAGACACAAGGGGAGGAGACACTGGAGGAGAACACAGGGGGAGGAGACATAGGAGGAGAACACAGGGGGAAGAGACACAGGCGGAGACACTGGAGGAGAACACAGGGGGAGGAGACATAGGAGGAGAACACAGGGGGAAGAGACACAGGAGGAGACACAGGAGGAGAACACAGGGGGAGGAGACATAGGAGGAGAACACAGGGGGAGACACAGGGGAGACACGGGGAGGAGACACAGGAGGAGACATAGGAGGATAAAACAGGGGGAGGAGACACAGGAGGAGAAAACAGGGGGAGGAGACACAGGAAGAGAAAACAGGGGAGGAGACACAGGAGGAGACACAGGAGGAGACATAGGAGGAGAATTAGGAGGAGACAAGGGGAGACACAGGGGGAGGAGACATAGGAGGAGACACAGTAGGAGACATAGGAGGAGACACAGGAGGAGGAGACACAGGAGGAGACACAAGGGGAGACACAGGGGGAGACACAGGAGGAGGAGACACAGGAGGAGACACAGGGGGAGACACAGGAGGAGACATAGGAGGAGAACACAGGGGGAGGAGAGACGGGAGGAGAACACAGGGGGAGGAGGAGACACAGGGGGAGGAGACACAGGAGGAGAGTTAGGAGGAGACAAGGGGAGACACAGGGGGAGGAGACATAGGAGGAGACACAGGAGGAGGAGACACAGGAGGAGACATAGGAGGAGACACAGGGGGAGACACAGGGGGAGACACAGGGGGAGGAGACACAGGAGGAGACACAGGTGGAGACACAGGTGGAGACACAGGTGGAAACACAGGGGGAGAACACAGGAGGAGACACAGGAGGAGACACAGGAGGAGACACAGGAGGAGACACAGGAGGAGGAAACACAAGGGGAAAACACAGGAGGAGACACAGGAGGAGACACAGGAGGAGGAAACACAGGGGGAGAACACAGGAGGAGACACAGGAGGAGACACAGGAGGAGACAACAGGGGGAGGAGACATAGGAGGAGAAAACGGGGAGGAGACACAAGAGGAGACACAGGAGGAGAACACAGGAGGAGAACACAGGGGGAGGAGAGACAGGAGGAGAACACAGGGGGAGGAGGAGACACAGGAGGAGAAGTAGGAGGAGACAAGGGGAGACACAGGAGGAGAATTAGGAGGAGACAAGGGGAGACACGGGGAGGAGACATAGGAGGAGACATAGGAGGAGACACAGTAGGAGACATAGGAGGAGACACAGGAGGAGACACAGGGGGAGACACAGGAGGAGGCACAGGAGGAGGAGACACAGGGGGAGACACAGGAGGAGGAGACACAGGAGGAGGAGACACAGGGGGAGACACAGGGGGAGACACAGGGGGAAACACAGGGGGAGGAGACACAGGGGGAGGGTTAGGGTTAGTGTTAGGGTTAGTTAGGGTTAGTTAGGGTTAGTTAGGGTTAGGAGGAGGCACAGGAGGAGGAGACACAGGGGGAGACAGGGGGAGACACAGGGGGAGACACAGGGGGAGACACAGGGGGAAACACAGGGGGAGACACAGGGGAGACACAGGGGGAGACACAGGGGAGGAGACACAGGAGGAGGACACAGGAGGAGAAACAGGGGGAGGAGAACACAGGAGAGAAACGGGGGAGACACAGGAGGAGAAAACAGGGGGAGGAGAGAAAGGAGGAGAACACAGGGGGAGGAGACACAGGAGGAGGAGACACAAGAGGAGACATAGGAGGAGAAAACAGGGGGAGGAGACACAGGAGGAGAAAACGGGGGGAGGACACAGGAGGAGAAAACAGGGGGGGAGAGACAGGAGGAGAACACAGGGGAGGAGACACAGGAGGAGACACAGGAGAGACACAGGAGGAGAGACACAGGAGGAGACACAGGTGGAAACACAGGGGGAGGAGACACAGGAGGAGGAAACACCGGGGAGAGACACAGGAGGAGACACAGGGGAGGAGACACAGGAGGAGACACAGGAGGAGACACAGGGGGAGGAGACACAGGAGGAGGAGACACAGGAGGAGGAAACACCGGGGGAGACACAGGAGAGACACAGGGGGAGGAGACACAGGAGGAGACACAGGAGGAGACACAGGAGGAGACACAGGAGGAGGAGACACAGGAGGAGGAGACACAAGAGGAGGAGACACAAGAGGAGGAGACATAGGAGAGACACAGAGACACAGGAGGAGACACAGGAGAGGAGACACAGGGGGAGACACAGGAGGAGACACAGGAGGAGGAGAAACAGGAGGAGGAGACACAGGAGAGAGACACAGGGGGGAGACACAGGAGAGAGACACAGGGGAGACACAGGAGGAGACACAGGAGGAGACACAGGAGGAGACACAGGAGGAGACACAGGGGAGACACAGGGGAGAGACACAGGAGGAGAAACAGGAGGAGACACAGGGGAGACACATGATTAGAGACACAGGAGGAGACACACAGGGAGAGAACACAGGGGGAGACACAGGAGAGAGACACAGGAGGACACAGGAGGAGAGACACAGAGTAGGAGACTCAGGAGGAGGAGACACAAGAGGAGGAGACACAGGAGGAGGAGACACAAGTGGAGACACAGGAGGAGAAGACACAGGAGGAGGAGCCACAGGAGGAGGAGCCACAGGGGGAGGAGACACAGTTGGAGACAAAGGTGGAGAACACAGGTGGAGACACTGGTGGAGACCACAGGAGAGAGACCACAGGAGGAGACAAGGGGGAGGAGACACAGGGAGGGGACACAGGAGGAGACACAGGAGGAGACACAGGAGGAGACACAGGAGGAGAGAACACAGGGGAGAGACACAGGAGAGACACAGGAGAGAGACACAGGAGAGAGACACAGGAGAGAGACACAGGAGAGACACAGGAGAGAGACACAGGAGAGAGACACAGGAGAGAGACACAGGAGAGACATAGGAGAGAGACAGGAGAGAGACACAGGAGAGAGACACAGGAGAGAGACAGGAGAGAGACACAGGAGAGAGACACAGGAGAGAGACACAGGAGAGAGACACAGGAGAGAGACAAAGGAGAGAGACACAGGAGAGAGACACAGGAGAGAGACACAGGAGAGAGACACAGGAGAGAGACACAGGAGAGAGACACAGGAGAGAGACAGGAGAGAGACACAGGAGAGAGACACAGGAGAGAGATAGGAGAGAGACACAGGAGAGAGACACAGGAGAGAGACACAGGAGAGAGACACAGGAGAGAGACACAGGAGAGAGACAGAGGAGAGAGACACAGGAGAGAGACACAGGAGGGACACAGGAGAGAGACACAGGAGGGACACAGGAGAGAGACACATGGAGAGAGACACAGGAGAGAGACACAGGAGAGAGACACAGGAAGGACACAGGAGAGAGACACAGGAGAGAGACAGGAGAGAGACACAGGAGAGACACAGGAGAGACATAGGAGAGAGACAGGAGAGAGACACAGGAGAGAGACACAGGAGAGAGACAGGAGAGAGACACAGGAGAGAGACACAGGAGAGAGACACAGGAGAGAGACACAGGAGAGAGACAAAGGAGAGAGACACAGGAGAGAGACACAGGAGAGAGACACAGGAGAGAGACACAGGAGAGAGACACAGGAGAGAGACACAGGAGAGAGACAGGAGAGAGACACAGGAGAGAGACACAGGAGAGAGATAGGAGAGAGACACAGGAGAGAGACACAGGAGAGAGACACAGGAGAGAGACACAGGAGAGAGACACAGGAGAGAGACACAGGAGAGAGACACAGGAGAGAGACACAGGAGAGAGACACAGGAGAGAGACACAGGAGAGAGACACAGGAGAGAGACACAGGAGAGAGACAGGAGAGAGACACAGGAGAGAGACACAGGAGAGAGACACAGGAGAGAGACACAGGAGAGACACAGGAGAGAGACACAGGAGAGACACAGGAGAGAGACACAGGAGAGAGACACAGGAGAGACACAGGAGAGAGACACAGGAGAGAGACACAGGAGAGAGACAGGAGAGAGACACAGGAGAGAGACACAGGAGAGACACAGGAGAGAGACACAGGAGAGAGACACAGGAGAGACACAGGAGAGAGACACAGGAGAGAGACACAGGAGAGAGACACAGGAGAGAGACACAGGAGAGAGACACAGGAGAGAGACACAGGAGAGAGACACAGGAGAGAGACACAGGAGAGAGACACAGGAGAGAGACACAGGAGAGACACAGGAGAGAGACACAGGAGAGAGACACAGGAGAGAGACACAGGAGAGAGACACAGGAGAGAGACACAGGAGAGAGACACAGGAGAGAGACACAGGAGAGAGACACAGGAGAGACAAAGGAAAGAGAGACAGAATTTTTAAAAAGAGCGAATTAAGACACGAATGTCACTTCACCTTGGAGAGACCCATGAGGAAAACGCATTAGACTTATTGATTTAAGCATGTTTATTGATTGAGTATGTTTGGCGTCCTAGGCCCGGGCGGGATGCTGTTGAGCACGGCGCTTGCTCGCGTGCATGATCCCCCCGGGGCCTAGGCACTGGTGACGGCAGAGGCAGTAGGCAAGCACGCTTCATGCGAGAAGGAGGAGGTGGGGCGGCGGCGGCTTGCAGACTTCAGAAGATTGGGAAGTGGGCGTCTCCGGCTTTTAACTTGCTGTCCTGGTGGTTATTAGTTGACTGGGTGTGGGCGTTGCTGGTATTGATGAGTCGAGGAAGAGCAGCCTGTGGCCTGGCAGCAACAGCCGGGTCTACCACGGTGAACTTTCGCGAAAGCTCCATTTTTAATGCAATATGAGGTGAGATGTTGATGGTTCCACGTTGATGGTTCCATGTTGATGGTTTAAGTGTTCCTGTTTACAACACCAGCTGCAGGTTGGGTGGTATAAAATTTATTACACATGTCTCACCAAAAAGGTCCAGGTTTCAGACCCACAGCCCCCCCCCCAGCCCCCCCACTGGGTACAGACCAAGAAGACCCAGTGGATCTTAAACCCAGTGGACGTTAGACCCAGTGGATGTTAGACCCAGTGGATGTTAGACCCAGTGGATGTTAGACCCAGTGGATATTAGACCCAGTGGATATTAGACCCTGTGGATGTTAGACCCAGTGGATGTTAGACCCAGTGGATGTTAGACCCTGTGGACGTTAGACCCAGTGGATATTAGACCCTGTGGATCTTAGACCCAGTGGATATTAGACCCTGTGGATATTAGACCCTGTGGATGTTAGACCCAGTGGATGTTAGACCCAGTGGATGTTAGACCCTGTGGACGTTAGACCCAGTGGATATTAGACCCTGTGGATATTAGACCCAGTGGATGTTAGACCCAGTGGACGTTAGACCCAGTGGATGTTAGACCCAGTGGATGTTAGACCCAGTGGATCTTAGACCCAGTGGATCTTAGACCCAGTGGATCTTAGACCCAGTGGATCTTAGACCCAGTGGATCTTAAACCCAGTGGATCTTAGACCCAGTGGATCTTAGACCCAGTGGATCTTAGACCCAGTGGATCTTAGACCCAGTGGATGTTAGACCCAGTGGATGTTAGACCCAGTGGATCTTAGACCCAGTGGATCTTAGACCCAGTGGATGTTAGACCCAGTGGATGTTAGACCCAGTGGATGTTAGACCCAGTGGATATTAGACCCAGTGGATCTTAGACCCAGTGGATCTTAGACCCAGTGGATCTTAGACCCAGTGGATCTTAGACCCAGTGGATGTTAGACCCAGTGGATCTTAGACCCAGTGGATCTTAGACCCAGTGGATCTTAGACCCAGTGGATGTTAGACCCAGTGGATGTTAGACCCAGTGGATCTTAGACCCAGTGGATCTTAGACCCAGTGGATCTTAGACCCAGTGGATCTTAGACCCAGTGGATGTTAGACCCAGTGGATCTTAGACCCAGTGGATCTTAGACCCAGTGGATCTTAGACCCAGTGGATCTTAGACCCAGTGGATCTTAGACCCAGTGGATGTTAGACCCAGTGGATGTTAGACCCAGTGGATGTTAGACCCAGTGGATGTTAGACCCAGTGGATCTTAGACCCAGTGGATGTTAGACCCAGTGGATGTTAGACCCAGTGGATGTTAGACCCAGTGGATGTTAGACCCAGTGGATCTTAGACCCAGTGGATCTTAGACCCAGTGGATGTTAGACCCAGTGGATGTTAGACCCAGTGGATGTTAGACCCAGTGGATTTTAGACCCAGTGGATATTAGACCCAGTGGATGTTAGACCCAGTGGATGTTAGACCCAGTGGATGTTAGACCCAGTGGATGTTAGACCCAGTGGATCTCAGACCCAGTGGATGTTAGACCCAGTGGATGTTAGACCCAGTGGATGTTAGACCCAGTGGATGTTAGACCCAGTGGATCTCAGACCCAGTGGATGTTAGACCCAGTGGATGTTAGACCCAGTGGATGTTAGACCCAGTGGATGTTAGACCCAGTGGATCTTAGACCCAGTGGATCTTAGACCCAGTGGATGTTAGACCCAGTGGATGTTAGACCCAGTGGATGTTAGACCCAGTGGATGTTAGACCCAGTGGATGTTAGACCCAGTGGATGTTAGACCCAGTGGATGTTAGACCCAGTGGATGTTAGACCCAGTGGATCTTAGACCCAGTGGATGTTAGACCCAGTGGATCTTAGACCCAGTGGATGTTAGACCCAGTGGATGTTAGACCCAGTGGATATTAGACCCAGTGGATGTTAGACCCAGTGGATGTTAGACCCTGTGGATGTTAGACCCAGTGGATGTTAGACCCAGTGGATCTTAGACCCAGTGGATCTTAGACCCAGTGGATCTTAGACCCAGTGGATGTTAGACCCAGTGGATGTTAGAACCAGTGGATGTTAGACCCTGTGGATGTTAGACCCAGTGGACGTTAGACCCAGTGGATATTAGACCCAGTGGATGTTAGACCCTGTGGATGTTAGACCCAGTGGATGTTAGACCTAGTGAATCTTAGACCCAGTGGATGTTAGACCCAGTGGATGTTAGACCCAGTGGATATTAGACCCAGTGGATTTTAGACCCTGTGGATGTTAGACCCAGTGGATGTTAGACCCTGTGGATATTAGACCCTGTGGATCTTAGACCCAGTGGATCTTAGACCCAGTGGATGTTAGACCCTGTGGATGTTAGACCCTGTGGATGTTAGACCCAGTGGATCTTAGACCCAGTGGACGTTAGACCCAGTGGATCTTAGACCCAGTGGATATTAGACCCAGTGGATCTTAGACCCAGTGGATGTTAGACCCAGTGGATGTTAGACCCAGTGGATCTTAGACCCAGTGGACGTTAGACCCAGTAGAGAGAAAAGTATGTTTCAGGGAATTTCACTTTTTACAATATTTTCATTATCTTCTTCGACGTTTTTCCAAAACCCAAGAATCACTGAAGAGTCCCAGAATATATGATATGATCTAACCTAAGGATCTCTAACCTAAGGATCTCTAACCTAAGGATCTCTAACCTAAGGATCTCTAACCTAAGGATCTCTAACCTAAGGATCTCTAACCTAAGGATCTCTAACCTTAGGATCTCGAACCTAAGGATCTCGAACCTAAGGATCTCTAACTTAAGGATCTCTAACCTAAGGATCTCTAACTTAAGGATCTCTAACCTAAGGATCTCTAACCTAAAGGATCTCTAACCTAAGGATCTCTAACCTAAGGATCTCTAACTTAAGGATCTCTAACCTAAGGATCTCTAACCTAAGGATCTCTAACCTAAGGATCTCTAACCTTAGGATCTCGAACCTAAGGATCTCGAACCTAAGCATCTCTAACTTAAGGATCTCTAACCTAAGGATCTCTAACCTAAGGATCTCTAACTTAAGGATCTCTAACTTAAGGATCTCTAACGTAAGGATCTCTAACCTAAGGATCTCTAACTTAAGGATCTCTAACTTAAGGATCTCTACGTAAGGATCTCTAACCTAAGGATCTCTAACTAAAGGATCTCTAACCTAAGGATCTCTACGTAAGGATCTCTAACCTAAGGATCTCTAACTAAAGGATCTCTAACCTAAGGATCTCTAACTAAAGGATCTCTAACAAACTTTGAGATAACCAAAGGAGTATTCAGATTCAGATTCAGTTTATTTATTTGCCATTTGCAGTAAAACCACATTGGAATACATTAGCAAAAGTCTCCAGTGTGCACAGACAAATACAGACATAAAACAACATTAAAAGACAGAAATAAAACAAATAAAACAGTTAACAAATGTCACTGTGAAATGGATCGACTAAAACAGTTCAAAACAAGTGCAAATCATTAAAGTGCTCTGTTCACACTGATAACAGGCTGTGGATAAAAACTGTTAGCGTAACGAGATGTCCTGCATCTCAGAGAGCGATATCTTCTGCCAGAGGGAAGAAGCTGGAACATGGCTTTCCCAGGGTGGCTGAAGAGTCATTAACAATCCTAAGAGCTTTGTTTAAAAGTGTGGATTTATAAAGAACCTCCAGAACAGGAAGCTCACAGCCCACGGTCCTCTTTGCAGAGCGGAGCACCTTGTTTAAAGCTCTCTTTTCTTTATCTGTGATGTTTCCAAAGTGGGACAGAGTCTGTCTCACTGCTCATTATGACGCCCCCGACAGAGTCTGACAGAGTCTGTCAGAGTCTGCTCACTGCTCATTATGACACCCCCGACAGAGTCTGTCTCACTGCTCATTATGACACCCCCGACAGAGTCTGTCCACTGCTCATTATGACACCCCCGACAGAGTCTGTCCCACTGCCTCATTATGACGCCCCCGACAGAGTCTGTCCCACTGCTCATTATGACACCCCCGACAGAGTCTGTCCCACTGCTCATTATGACACCCCCGACAGAGTCTGTCCCACTGCTCATTATGACGCCCCCGACCGAGTTTGTCCCACTGCTCATTATGACACCCCCGACAGAGTCTGTCCCACTGCTCATTATGACACCCCCGACAGACTCTGTCCCACTGCTCATTATGACACCCCCGACAGAGTCTGTCCCACTGCTCATTATGACACCCCCGACAGACTCTGTCCCACTGCTCATTATGACGCCCCCGACAGAGTCTGTCCCTCTGCTCATTATGACACCCCCGACAGACTCTGTCCCACTGCTCATTATGACGTCCCCGACAGACTCTGTCCCACTGCTCATTATGACACCCCCGACAGAGTCTGTCCCACTTCTCATTATGACACCCCCGACAGAGTCTGTCCCACTGCTCATTATGACACCCCCGACAGACTCTGTCCCCCTGCTCATTATGACACCCCCGACAGAGTCTGTCCCACTGCTCATTATGACGCCCCCGAAAGAGTTTGTCCCACTGCTCATTATGACACCCCCGACAGAGTTTGTCCCACTGCTCATTATGACACCCCCGACAGACTCTGTCCCACTGCTCATTATGACACCCCCGACAGAGTCTGTCCCACTGCTCATTATGACGCCCCCGACAGAGTCTGTCCCACTGCTCATTATGACACCCCCGACAGACTCTGTCCCACTGCTCATTATGACACCCCCGACAGAGTCTGTCCCACTGCTCATTATGACACCCCCGACAGACTCTGTCCCACTGCTCATTATGACGCCCCCGACAGACTCTGTCCCACTGCTCATTATGACACCCCCGACAGAGTCTGTCCCACTGCTCATTATGACACCCCCGACAGACTCTGTCCCACTGCTCATTATGACACCCCCGACAGAGTCTGTCCCACTGCTCATTATGACACCCCCGACAGACTCTGTCCCACTGCTCATTATGACGCCCCCGACAGAGTCTGTCTCACTGCTCATTATGACACCCCCGACAGACTCTGTCCCACTGCTCATTATGACGCCCCCGACAGAGTCTGTCCCACTGCTCATTATGACACCCCCGACAGACTCTGTCCCACTGCTCATTATGACACCCCCGACAGAGTCTGTCTCACTGCTCATTATGACGTCCCCGACAGACTCTGTCCCACTGCTCATTATGACACCCCCGACAGAGTCTGTCCCACTTCTCATTATGACACCCCCGACAGAGTCTGTCTCACTGCTCATTATGACACCCCCGACAGAGTCTGTCCCACTGCTCATTATGACGCCCCCGACAGACTCTGTCCCACTGCTCATTATGACACCCCCGACAGAGTCTGTCCCACTGCTCATTATGACGCCCCCGAAAGAGTTTGTCCCACTGCTCATTATGACACCCCCGACAGAGTTTGTCCCACTGCTCATTATGACGCCCCCGACAGACTCTGTCCCACTGATCATTATGACGCCCCCGACAGACTCTGTCCCACTGCTCATTATGACACCCCCGACAGACTCTGTCCCACTGCTCATTATGACACCCCCGACAGAGTCTGTCCCACTGCTCATTATGACACCCCCGACAGAGTCTGTCCCACTGCTCATTATGACGCCCCCGACAGAGTCTGTCCCACTGCTCATTATGACACCCCCGACAGACTCTGTCCCACTGCTCATTATGACGCCCCCGACAGAGTCTGTCTCACTGCTCATTATGACACCCCCGACAGAGTCTGTCCCACTGCTCATTATGACGCCCCCGACAGAGTCTGTCCCACTGCTCATTATGACGCCCCCGACAGAGTCTGTCCCACTGCTCATTATGACACCCCCGACAGAGTCTGTCTCACTGCTCATTATGACACCCCCGACAGAGTCTGTCCCACTGCTCATTATGACGCCCCCGACAGACTCTGTCCCACTGCTCATTATGACACCCCCGACAGACTCTGTCCCACTGCTCATTATGACACCCCCGACAGACTCTGTCCCACTGCTCATTATGATGCCCCCGACAGAGTCTGTCCCACTGCTCATTATGACACCCCCGACAGACTCTGTCCCACTGCTCATTATGACGCCCCCGACAGAGTCTGTCCCACTGCTCATTATGACACCCCCGACAGAGTCTGTCCCACTGCTCATTATGACACCCCCGACAGAGTCTGTCCCACTGCTCATTATGACACCCCCGACAGACTCTGTCCCACTGCTCATTATGACGTCCCCGACAGACTCTGTCCCACTGCTCATTATGACACCCCCGACAGAGTCTGTCCCACTTCTCATTATGACACCCCCGACAGAGTCTGTCCCACTGCTCATTATGACGCCCCCGACAGAGTCTGTCCCACTGCTCATTATGACGCCCCCGACAGACTCTGTCCCATTGCTCATTATGACACCCCCGACAGAGTCTGTCCCACTGCTCATTATGACGCCCCCGACAGAGTTTGTCCCACTGCTCATTATGACACCCCCGACAGAGTTTGTCCCACTGCTCATTATGACACCCCCGACAGACTCTGTCCCACTGCTCATTATGACGTCCCCGACAGACTCTGTCCCACTGCTCATTATGACACCCCCGACAGAGTCTGTCCCACTTCTCATTATGACACCCCCGACAGAGTCTGTCCCACTGCTCATTATGACGCCCCCGACAGAGTCTGTCCCACTGCTCATTATGACGCCCCCGACAGACTCTGTCCCATTGCTCATTATGACACCCCCGACAGAGTCTGTCCCACTGCTCATTATGACGCCCCCGACAGAGTTTGTCCCACTGCTCATTATGACACCCCCGACAGAGTTTGTCCCACTGCTCATTATGACACCCCCGACAGACTCTGTCCCACTGCTCATTATGACACCCCCGACAGAGTCTGTCCCACTGCTCATTATGACGCCCCCGACAGAGTCTGTCCCACTGCTCATTATGACACCCCCGACAGAGTCTGTCCCACTGCTCATTATGACACCCCCGACAGACTCTGTCCCACTGCTCATTATGACGCCCCCGACAGAGTCTGTCCCACTGCTCATTATGACACCCCCGACAGACTCTGTCCCACTGCTCATTATGACGCCCCCGACAGACTCTGTCCCATTGCTCATTATGACACCCCCGACAGAGTCTGTCCCACTGCTCATTATGACACCCCCGACAGAGTCTGTCCCACTGCTCATTATGACGCCCCCGACAGACTCTGTCCCATTGCTCATTATGACACCCCCGACAGAGTCTGTCCCACTGCTCATTATGACGCCCCCGACAGAGTTTGTCCCACTGCTCATTATGACACCCCCGACAGAGTTTGTCCCACTGCTCATTATGACACCCCGACCGACAGACTCTGTCCCACTGCTCATTATGACACCCCCGACAGAGTCTGTCCCACTGCTCATTATGACGCCCCCGACAGACTCTGTCCCATTGCTCATTATGACACCCCCGACAGAGTCTGTCCCACTGCTCATTATGACGCCCCCGACAGAGTTTGTCCCACTGCTCATTATGACACCCCCGACAGAGTTTGTCCCACTGCTCATTATGACGCCCCCGACAGAGTCTGTCCCACTGCTCATTATGACACCCCCGACAGAGTCTGTCCCACTGCTCATTATGACACCCCCGACAGACTCTGTCCCACTGCTCATTATGACGCCCCCGACAGAGTCCGTCCCACTGCTCATCATGACGCCCCCGACAGACTTTGATATTGTAGGTGTTTTGAAGGACGTCCGATAACAGTATTTTATTTAGATCTGAAACATGTGTATGTGTAGGACAGCCTCCTTCAGAAATGGTGATAAAATATTGTTCCACCTCATTTGGTATTTTACAAATGTTTTCCCTTTCTTTATTAGTTGTAATATAATGCCTAATTTGTAAATATCTATAAAAATCATTCGAGGGAAGGTTGAACTGTTGTTGAAGTAGTAAGAACGACTTGTGTTTCTTTGAAGAGTTGATGTAAAGTTCCGAGGCCTTTAGCCGCCCGTCTGATCAGAGACAGAAACTCTACCTTCCCCACGATGGCCATAGCTCGAGACATTGATCCTGTGTTTTTATGCATTTTTTAAACTTCTGCCCAGACCTTTGCTGTCTGTTTTATCCATTCATTTCCACTTCACCCGGTATAACCTTTTAAATTCGGCAATGCCAAGCCTTACAATGCCAAGTCTTATTTTTTGTCAAGTGAAGTGTTTTGAGTTTAATTCTGGGCCTTTTATGTTGCCTTATAAATTGAGAAATGAACTTGTTGAGCATATTCAAAATTGAAATGGGAACTCTTATGGGCAGAGACTGGAATAGAAACAGAAGACAAGGAAGCAAATTCATCCTTCAACTCAAAGAGAGACAAGGGGAGAATTTCCCAACGAGTCAGATCACTGCGGATTTGCTTATTATAATTTGCATCATAAAGTGTTGTGGTTTCAGGGGTTATAATAATACCCAAGTACCTACCTCCATGTTTCAGGGGTTATAATAATACTCAAGTACCTACCTCCATGTTTCAGGGGTTATAATAATACTCAAGTACCTACCTCCATGTTTCAGGGGTTATAATAATACCCAAGTACCTACCTCCATGTTTCAGGGGTTATAATAATACCCAAGTACCTACCTCCATGTTTCAGGGGTTATAATAATACCCAAGTACCTACCTCCATGTTTCAGGGGTTATAATAATACTCAAGTACCTACCTCCATGTTTCAGGGGTTATAATAATACCCAAGTACCTACCTCCATGTTTCAGGGGTTATAATAATACCCAAGTACCTACCTCCATGTTTCAGGGGTTATAATAATACCCAAGTACCTACCTCCATGTTTCAGGGGTTATAATAATACCCAAGTACCTACCTCCATGTTTCAGGGGTTATAATAATACCCAAGTACCTACCTCCATGTTTCAGGGGTTATAATAATACCCAAGTACCTACCTCCATGTTTCAGGGGTTATAATAATACCCAAGTACCTACCTCCATGTTTCAGGGGTTATAATAATACTCAAGTACCTACCTCCATGTTTCAGGGGTTATAATAATACTCAAGTACCTACCTCCATGTTTCAGGGGTTATAATAATACTCAAGTACCTACCTCCATGTTTCAGGGGTTATAATAATACCCAAGTACCTACCTCCATGTTTCAGGGGTTATAATAATACTCAAGTACCTACCTCCATGTTTCAGGGGTTATAATAATACTCAAGTACCTACCTCCATGTTTCAGGGGTTATAATAATACCCAAGTACCTACCTCCATGTTTCAGGGGTTATAATAATACTCAAGTACCTACCTCCATGTTTCAGGGGTTATAATAATACCCAAGTACCTACCTCCATGTTTCAGGGGTTATAATAATACCCAAGTACCTACCTCCATGTTTCAGGGGTTATAATAATACTCAAGTACCTACCTCCATGTTTCAGGGGTTATAATAATACTCAAGTACCTACCTCCATGTTTCAGGGGTTATAATAATACCCAAGTACCTACCTCCATGTTTCAGGGGTTATAATAATACCCAAGTACCTACCTCCATGTTTCAGGGGTTATAATAATACCCAAGTACCTACCTCCATGTTTCAGGGGTTATAATAATACCCAAGTACCTACCTCCATGTTTCAGGGGTTATAATAATACCCAAGTACCTACCTCCATGTTTCAGGGGTTATAATAATACTCAAGTACCTACCTCCATGTTTAGAGCAGCCAAACGACACTACCTTGTTTAGTTCCATAGGCCACTTCCCCGACACCATCATTGCCTCAGATTTATTTTGTTTAACTTTATAGCCAGAGATTTCTCCATAGTCTTTTAAGCATTGCATGATAAATAGCGAGATATCGTCAGCGAAGAGAGAGATTTTGTGGACTCGACCCCCACCGTCCCCAACTCCCTCGATCAGAGCATCCTGTCGTGTGGCTGAGAGCAAAGAGGATGGGCGAGAGAGAACCCCCTGCCTTACTCCTCTTTCTGTGTTAAAGAAGTCCGAACACTGTCCACTAACTCTAATCTTAGATTTAGGATTCTTATGTACCCAAAACCAGAGAGTAAATTTTTCCCCAAAGCCCATCTCAATTAGAGTCTGTTCCAAAAATTGCCAATCAACCCGATCAAATGTTTCCTCAGCGTCTGAGCTGAGAAGGATTGAAGGTCGTTTATCCCTTTTCCATAAGTGTCTGCAGATTGAGCGCTCTTCTTATATAGTCCCGTGGCGCCCTAAGATGAACCCTGTCTGATCAGATGTTATTAGTTTCTTAATGATAGATGTTAGTATTTTATAGTCCACACACAAGAGACTGATGGGACGATAAGCAGAGCAGTGCAGGACAGTAATGACGGGCTCCGACCATGACCCCGCAGGATTCCCTGGTCCTAACACATAATTGTACAGTTCATTCATAAATACTCTGTAGCACTCCCCTCTTTTAATTCCTGAAGTTGACCCCTATCCAGCTGCTCATACTTAGCAAAGGTATTAGATATTGTTTTTGGGTTATCTCAACATCATTGGAGTGAAGTTGTATAATTTTAGGAACTATACGACTGTTTTGTGCCTTCTGTAATTGAAACGATAATAATCTACTGGCCTTGTCAGTATCTCCTCTAACCCTAACCCTATACGTCAGTATCTCCTCTAACCCTATAGGTCAGTATCTCCTCTAACCCTAACCCTATACGTCAGTATCTCCTCTAACCCTATACGTCAGTATCTCCTCTAACCCTAACCCTATACGTCAGTAACGAGACATTAATCCTCAGATTGGTCTTAACGCGGTACAGAAAGTCAAGAGTAACTCCTGTGTACTTGTAAATGTGAAATCTCTCGGATGCAGGTGCCACATATTCGATAAACTTTTAGACATTCTGGTTTGAGGCCTTGTAGATGTCGGTAATCTATCTATTCTATTGTTAAGTACGCACCAATAAGCACAATACCCTCCCCATTATCTGCAGACCAGTCTTTTGGAGAAAGGCGGACGGTCCTCGTTAGGTGCACAGACATTTAAAATGGTTATTTTAAGTCCTGCAATTGTTCCCAGGACCGTAACGAAACGACCCTCCGCATCCTGAAGACCCTTTTCACAACGATCTGTTAAACAATATAGCTACACCTCTCTCTTTAAGTTTACTAAAAGATGGACTGTAAACCTGATCGACCCATTCTCTTCTTAGCTTCTGTGTTTCTTGAAGTAAAGCTGTAGAACAGTGACTTTTCTTCAGCTGTCCCAAGATCCTTTTTCTTTTAACTGGGTTGTTTATTTCTTTTACATTATAGGTAACCCAGAGAGTCATCCTTGCACTTATATTGGTTTAAATAATGTAGCGCTAACCCCCCATTAGCATCTGTCGAATGAAACACATTTCAGCACTGGATGAAGAAAACTATACCCTGTCTCAGGAATAACACAATAACAACCTTACAAACATAGAACAGGTCCACATTTCTCTGGTCTCTCTCTGGTCTCTCTCTGGTCTCTCTCTCTGGTCTCTCTCTGGTCTCTCTCTGGTCTCTCTCTCTCTCTGGTCTCTCTCTGGTCTCTCTCTGGTCTCTCTCTGGTCTCTCTCTCTGGTCTCTCTCTGGTCTCTCTCTGGTCTCTCTCTGGTCTCTCTCTGGTCTCTCTCTGGTCTCTCTCTGGTCTCTCTCTGGTCTCTCTGGTCTCTCTCTGGTCTCTCTCTGGTCTCTCTCTGGTCTCTCTCTGATCTCTCTCTGGTCTCTCTGGTCTCTCTCTGGTCTCTCTCTGGTCTCTCTCTGGTCTCTCTCTGGTCTCTCTGGTCTCTCTCTGGTCTCTCTGGTCTCTCTCTGGTCTCTCTCTGGTCTCTCTCTGGTCTCTCTCTCTGGTCTCTCTCTCTGGTCTCTCTCTGGTCTCTCTCTGGTCTCTCTCTCTCTGGTCTCTCTCTGGTCTCTCTCTCTGGTCTCTCTCTGGTCTCTCTCTGGTCTCTCTCTGGTCTCTCTCTGGTCTCTCTCTGGTCTCTCTCTGGTCTCTCTCTGGTCTCTCTCTGGTCTCTCTCTGGTCTCTCTCTGGTCTCTCTCTGGTCTCTCTCTGGTCTCTCTCTGGTCTCTCTCTCTGGTCTCTCTCTGGTCTCTCTCTGGTCTCTCTCTGGTCTCTCTCTGGTCTCTCTCTGGTCTCTCTCTGGTCTCTCTCTGGTCTCTCTCTGGTCTCTCTCTGGTCTCTCTCTCTGGTCTCTCTCTGGTCTCTCTCTGGTCTCTCTCTGGTCTCTCTCTGGTCTCTCTCTGGTCTCTCTCTGGTCTCTCTGGTCTCTCTCTGGTCTCTCTGGTCTCTCTCTGGTCTCTCTCTGGTCTCTCTCTGGTCTCTCTCTGGTCTCTCTCTGGTCTCTCTGGTCTCTCTCTGGTCTCTCTCTGGTCTCTCTCTGGTCTCTCTCTGGTCTCTCTCTGGTCTCTCTCTGGTCTCTCTCTGGTCTCTCTCTCTGGTCTCTCTCTGGTCTCTCTCTGGTCTCTCTCTGGTCTCTCTCTGGTCTCTCTCTGGTCTCTCTGGTCTCTCTCTGGTCTCTCTCTGGTCTCTCTCTGGTCTCTCTCTGGTCTCTCTCTGGTCTCTCTCTGGTCTCTCTCTGGTCTCTCTCTGGTCTCTCTCTGGTCTCTCTCTGGTCTCTCTCTGGTCTCTCTCTGGTCTCTCTCTGGTCTCTCTCTGGTCTCTCTCTGGTCTCTCTGGTCTCTCTGGTCTCTCTCTGGTCTCTCTC